TGCTGGACCTTTTCTGCTCCTCCAGAGTGAAAATGACAAATAATTCAGGTTCTTACTACCCATTATTTGTGATCCAGGAGGAATGCAAACAGATCAGACCAGCCAGTAAGGGATACACCTGAACAAACAAAAAATGCAATCATGTAGCATTTTGTTTTGTGCTGGCACTTTGAGATTTCATGGTACCAACCAAACTTCACAAAATAATGTGCATCACAAAAAAAGTGTCAAGAATCTCAAACCCACCGTGTTATGCCTACGTCTAAGGAAAATCTTGTATCCTGCCTTGCAGGGACCAATTTCAGCTGAGATTTCCAAAGTCATTTCAACAGAACATGAGGGAAAAGCAGATCCATCTTGCAGGATCCTGGAACTGACTACTTTGCCAAATGCCTGCTGTACACTTAGGAAGAGGTGTTAGATTCACCCCTGTGAGCAATTCCCTGTGTTTCCAGGCATACACCTACTTTTGCTTTAAAGCTTGGATCATACCAGATGATTACTCCTACGGGAGAACATATTTGAACAGACCAATCTTAAATCTAATGTTACCCAGTACACAGCACATTACTTGCTGAAATATCAAAAACTCAGTTTAAGAGTTTGCCGTACATCAACTATGTATTTTTCACTTACAAAGTACAGAAAACCACACTGACGTTGATAGAAGGGTTTTCTTGTGGATTATTAAGCAGTATTCTTCTGTTTCCAAACAACTAGTACAATTCCATTTTGTCTTCATCTCTGGGAATAACTTTTCATAGTCACAATGTTGTTTACATAATCTTCAAAATATGGAAAGTTTTACAAGACTATATATTTTTGCCATAGTTACTAATTTTTATGGCACAATACACTGCAATAAAAAAATCTGTACTGCTTGACAAGGAACTTGCATGTACATTTAGTTGTGCTAAGAAATTCTTTAGTTACACAGTTTGCATGTCTTGCTTTCCCACAGAGATCAATCACCAGATCCAAGATCCGTGGAACCACAGGCTAAACCTGCTGTAGGACATGGTATATTGTTTATTTTTGACAATACACTGTCATTTCTATGTAATAAATTCCCAAGTTCTGCAAAGATCTGGGAACAACAAAGAGATCTTGGCTTGTCATGTTCTTTTGTGAAATGCCACCCAGGAGACATCCAAAAAAAAGCTAACAAAAAACTCTGTTGCAAGCCAGCAAGAAGTGCTTTTTCAACTCATTGTTTACATAAGAGGATGTATTCTGCAGTCTTTCTGAATGTCATTTCTAGCAATAAAACTGCATTCATTAACTTATGTTCCATTAAGGTCTATATTTTAATGGGATCACTGGAAAATTCATTCCAGAATTTATGAATGTAACTATAACAATACAAAAAAGTAATTCTGCCCCTTAGCCTTCCTCCTCATAAGTGTTTGATAATTAAATCAAAAGTTAATACAGAACTTCTGCTCCAGGAGTGAATATCTTTTCCATTGACATGTAATACAAACACATCTTACCTCTCCCCTAAAGTTGGAGTCAATATCTCATTCCAAAGTACAGTGCAGTAGCGCATAATGAAAAGAACTAGCATCAAAAAACGCACATTTTTAAAGAGAGCTGCAAGGTCACATCTTCAGAAAAACTACAGTTCTGCACACAAACTACAGGGGTCTTTTACAGATTTTCAAGAAACATCACAAAAAAAAAAAAGGCTCTCAGCTTTAGCTACCACTATTACATTTATAGATAGGGCTACTTCACCTTTCAGAAGCTGACAAAAATGTAATTGATACACTGAAGCCAAACACTATAAAATTGTCTGTAAATTTGTAACAGGTGACTCTTACAATACCTAGTTGGAGGGGGAAAGTAAATATATAGTTACTATTCTATAGTAACTACACGATGTTACTGGTTTACTTGAAAAACACCTTTATTTTTACTTCAGAATCATAAAATGTAAGCACTAGTTGCAGAAATTGATATAAACAAGTGTCTACATTAACTCTTCTTACCTTGAAAGATTTAAGAAAGTAAAGTAAAATCCATCAGTACAGGCAATATCTTACAAGCTACCAGATTTGCAACTAAGCAAGAACATTTTATTCACCTGAAGTGCCATGCAGGGCTTCTGTAGCTTAAGTGGAATATAAATAATAATAATAATATATAATAATAATAATAAATAATATTAATAATATATAAACTCAGTTTTGGTTTTGTACTAGAAAACATATCATCCTGACATCAGGTGACAGCACCAGTAACAACCAATTTAGTACAAAACACGATTTAACCACCAGTGTAGTCAAGCATAGTCAGAGACACACATTAAATATCACCAAAGGCTTACTCATACAGGTGTTAAATAACTTTAAGACCTAATAATACGAGAAAAGTCATAAACATAAGAGCAACAGCAAAACAGTTGGAAGCACGGATGTCTAGGTTACTATATTTTTAAAGAGCACAAACATTTAACTAAACTAGATTTTTGAATCATTATTTATTTTCCACTCAACCTCACATTCCTCAAAAGTACATGCATTAATTCACCCCTCTTGCATTAATGCACCCTTCCCAGTGCAAGAAGGTCAAGGCATAATTCCAGTGGACCTGATAATCAGCCCATTACTCACCTGATCACCATGCAGCCTCTGGCTCACACTGCAGTACTCCAAGAATAACAAGTCTTTATGGCCATTCAGGAGTATAAGCCCCCAAGGAGGGAGGGCAAACACTGCAGAGTAAGATTGTTTCGTATTTGTACTGCCAAAACCTCAAAACCCTTTACCACTCGTTCAACTGAAAAGACAGTAAAACAACTAAGAGCTGAAAACTGTGCGATAAAATTTTGAAGAGGCAATAGAAAGAAAACTATGAAAATAAAAACCACTTCTATGGAAAACTTCTGCCTTTTCAGAGAGGAGTAAGTACAGAAGAGGAGAGGGGTTAGCTTCAAGGTAACAGTCAAAAATTCCCATTAAATAAGATAATGTTATGAAAAGAAGCAGAAATAACTGATTCTCCCAATTCAGTGATAGCCAGGAATCACAGTATTGTGCACTCTGGAACCACTTACAACAGTGTTTTTGAAAGTTGATACACTTATCCAAGAAGCAGACTTAAAGACATTGTCAGTATTATCACATAAAGTAGCACTGCAACAGTTGGGATAAAAACACAGCCACACCAGTTGGTTAAAGGAGGTGATTATCCCACTGTATTCAGCATTGGTGTGGCCTCATCTGAAGTAATGTGTACACCACTGGAAAACTATGTGAAAGTCCTTGAATATGTCCAGAGGAGGGCAACAAAGCTGCTGCCACGTGCTTTGAGGAGCAGCTGAAGCCTTTGGGTTTGTCTAGTTTGGAGAAAAGGAGGCTGAGGTGTGACCTTATTGCTCTCTACAGCTTCCTGAGGAGAGGAAGTGGAGAGGCAGGTGCTGATCTCCCCTTCCTAATATTCAGTGATAGGACAGACAGGGATGGTTCAAAGTTGTGTCAGAGAAGGTTCAAACTGGACATTAGGAAGTATTTCTTTAACAAGGGTGTGATCAAACAGTGGAACAGGTTTCTTAGAGAGATGGTCGGCGCCCCAAGCCTTTTAAGTGTTTAAGAGGTATTTGGACAATGCCCTTAATAACATAAAGATTTAGTCAGTCCTAAAGTGGTCAAGCAATTGGACTAAATGATTGTTGTAGATCCCTTCCACATGAACTATCCTTCTTTTATTCTAAATCACATAATATCTGCTCTATTTTTTTACATCTTAGCCATACATGAAATCACAATCCAGGAGACCCACAAACAGCAAAACAGGAACATTCTCAGAATACCACTGGCAATAACCTTGCTTTGTGTGAGCAGTTTTTCTCAATTACATCCAAAGTCTGTCACTGTGCTTTGGTACAGTTAGCATTAACTTTTGTTTTGGTCAAAGACTTCCAAGTAGGTAAAGAAAAAAGTCAAAGTGACAACCAAGAAGCAAGATACTTTAATCAGTAAACAAACATGCAAAAAACCAACAAAACAAAACAAATTCCTACAGTGCAAAATCCCCTCTAGGCTAGCAGATAAGAGTTCGCAGTAGGTATCTAAAAAGCACAACGTTGTTCCAAAATGGATCTTGTGTGCCCAACGATTAGGGCTGAGTAGAAAACACAACTACCCGAGTTCAAGCCTCACGTGTGCCTTATTTACCCTACATTAATTTCACCTTTTTCATCTTCCCCTCCTTGCTGAAGAGGCTTAGAGTGTAATGAACAACAGCACTGTGGTCAAGCGCCGGGCTTCCGGCAGAGCAGGCCCGGGGCAGGCAGGAGCGGGCAGGCCACAGCCGACCCCGGGAAGGGTCTGGGCTGGCCCCCTGCTCGGGCAGTCGGCCCTGCCCGCAGGGCGACCGGGAGGGCCCGGGAGCTGCTCCCAGAGCGAGCCCTCGCCGGGCCCCGAGCGCGCCGGGGGCAACAGAGACCCCTCCTCGCAGGCGCCTCCAGGGGCTCCGAGCCGGAGCCCCACACACAAGGGCCCCCCGGGCCACCGCTCGCAGTCACCCCGAGGGCGCGCTCGGCGGCGCGGCCCAGCTCGGCCGCACTTACCAAGCCCGACTCGCGAGAGCCCCCCGCGCCCTGTCGGCCATGGCGCCGCCGCCGGCCCTCACCGCAGCCGTTGGGGCGGGCGGCGCCGCAGGGCCCCCGGCTTCTTCGCTCGGGCAGGAGGGACGCGGGGTCCTGCTCGCTCCTTCGGGCCGCTTCGGGCGCTCTGGGCCGGGGCCAGGCCTGGAAGGGGAGGGAGGGAGGAAGGAGGGAGGGGGCCGCGGAGGGGAGGAAGGAGGAGGAAGGGGCGGGGCGGGCGCAGGCATAGACGAACAAAGCCGCGAAACCGGCGGGCGGGCGCTGGCTGGCCTGGCCGGGAAGCTGCTGTGCCTTCCGTGGCGGAGAAGGGCAGCAGTAAGCGCAGCCAGCAGGGCGGCGGCTGGCCCCGTGGCCTCAGGCCCGGGCAGGGCGTAGGTGCAGTGGGAAGGGTTTATTTTAGGTGCTTTTCTTTTATAAATAATACTGTTAAAAGGACTTAATAATACTGTTGAAAAGGACTTTTCCCCATGGCCTGCAACGGGTGTTGCGGGTTAGGAGCGATTTTTAGCCTTCAGAAAGGTGAGGAGCGGCTGGGGGAGCTGGGGTTGTTCAGCTTGGAGAAGAGGAGGCCCGGGGGAGACCTTTTAGCTCCCTACAGCTCCCTGGAGGGAGGCTGTAGCGGGATGGGGATCGGTCTCTTCTCCCAAGTGACAGGACAAGAAGAAATGGCCTCAAGTTGCGCCAGAGGAGGTTGAGATTGGATACGAGGAAAAATTTCTTTTCAGAAAGGATGAAGCATTGGAACAGGCTGCTAAGTGGTGGAATCACTGTCCCTGGAATCATTCAAAAATTCCACCTCATGTAGATGTGGTGTTTAGGGACATGTTATAGTGCTGGACTTGTCAGTGCTAAGGTAATGGTTGGACTCAATCTTAGTGGTCTTTTACAACCTGAATGATTCTGTGTGAAAGCCTGTGCTTATGGGGTTTGTCTGTTAAAGATGGAGTTTTCTTCATGGGTCATTCTCACCCTTGAGATGTTTCAATTTTCATGCAGCATCTTCAAACCAAAGCTTGCAGGTTGGTAGGGTGGGTTGTTTTTTTTTATCCATCTGAAAACCTCACTTTGCTATACCAAGTACAAGGCACTCAGGATTTCTACATACAACACTCTGGGCTGCTCATTCCTAGTATTCTCTTTTATATCTATATACTCTGGGCTGCTCATTCCTAGTATTCTCTTTTATATCTATATACTCTGGGACAAAGATTTTGTCACCAGTGCACATGGTATCCTGTATGGCTGCTGTTTTAGAGACACATATATCTTTAAGTTGATAGTTATAAAAAGCTTGACAAAGAAGAAGGAAACAAAACTGAACAATCAGACTCAACTGAACAATGTCTAACATTACACATACCCCGAAGTTTTCCTGATCAGGAGCCTTAACAGAAAGGTGTACTCTAGCCCTAAAATAAAAAAAAAAAATTAAAAATTCAACTTAAAATAAAAGACTGAGATACGTGATCTCTGCTAGCAAAATGTCAAAACAATATTGCAATCAGGGAAGTTTTAATTGTCATGGTGGTCGTTAAAAAATAAATTAGCAGAGGGAGCGTTATTAATTGGGAAGGTACAACACTGCATTTTGATGTCAGTTCATAGAGAGCAATCACCGAAGCCATCTACTCAGAGTTTGGTAAAGTGAGCCAACCCAACCTTCTATATACTTTATGGAGTGAGTAACCATACCGTGTGTTTGGATTTTCAGAGGTGGTGCAGTCCCAAATCATGACAAGGCTGTGGGTGAATATGAGCTTCCAAAGGAATAATATCTAGGACAACTAGCTAACATAAGAGCCTTGAAATAGACCTACTTATGTCTGTACCAAGGAAACTCCTAAATGAGTCATGAGGCATACCCTGAAGTTAAGCAGAAGAGTCACACTGAAGTATTAGTGGCCAAGTCACACCCTTTTTCCACACTTAACAGTAGCGGATACTGACATGGGAAAGCACTAACAGGTAGGTGAGAGTGTAGTTCCAGTTCAGACACTTATTATGCAAAAGAAATGGGAGTAAAAGCAGCTTGCATTTGTAGTCTGACCTGTCTGCACAATAGATTATCAAGTAAAGGTTGTAAACGTTATTGTAACTCAAAATGGGGTGCCCAGAGAGCCAATTAGCAAGGGATGGAGTATGACCTAGGAGAAGATAATGAGAATTACAGACTTTATACATTACCTCATGTTAGTTTAAGACATGGAGGCTTTTGCTTACTTAAATCTTCATTGAAATCACCAGGCAATTATACCAGCAATTTATGCCAGCAAATGGCTAGCTGTTGCACCTCACGGGACAGACCACCATCTATAAAAAAACATAGGTGCTGTCCTTCTTAGAGGTCTGCAGCCATCTGTTCTAACAAATTCATTATATGCAAGCTGAGATGTGTGTATATAAATATATATACACACACATGTACATCCTTTTGTACATAAGAGGTCCCCATTAGTGTTTCTCTGCCCACGGAGGGCACTACCTCATCTTGGCTGTTTCTAGCAGCTGTCAGCTGTGCTGCAGGAAGGTGAACAATTAGCTCCACGATAAAACAGAAAGTGATACAATGCCTGCCAGGCAGTCAGAGAACCACAAATTGGAGGGATAAGACCCTCTGTGCCAACTATTCACAATAAAACACTCTTAGAGCATATTCTCCATATCAATCACCTTTAGAATAAATGACATTGCTGAAGCTAAGGAGCATCGGAGTACCTGGGGCTATACAGGGACCAGCCTAAACTCCCACACACTTGTAAGGGGCTCAATGCCTCTATAGCTTTCTCTGACAAATGTTACTCAAGATGAGTCAGTGCATCACTGTTCACAAAATTCACATGGACTCCCTCTGTCCAAATTGCCTAAAATGCAGTTCTTCTGGACTACTGCCCATGTGACGTGGGACAGCTTAATCTATGACAAAGAGGTTATTTCACGATGCTCTGTAATTGTAAGTACTTGAAAGGTTTCGTCTACTCAAGTACCCCTCTTAGGGCACTGGTGAGACAGAGAACAGACAGAACTAGCACACAGGGCAAGACAGCAAAAGCCAGTTTTTGAAGCAGTCTTACGGGCTTACAACCTGTGGATTGATTCATCCTTGTTGCCTTTATCTCTTGCCAGTTCCAGGCCCAATCCTCTTGGTTCAGCAGTGAGCTCAAAACCAGGGAGCTGAAACTGTTGACCGCACCTGCCAGCAAAGGGCAAGAGCAGAAAGCTGCAATGCTCATTGTGAGTTATGGCATCATTCACCCCAACCTGGTGTGCTGAAACCAACAACAGTGGGATGGAGACCCTGCACACCAGATTCAACGAGAGGTCCCCACAACGGCGGAAATGCTGTTTTGGTCTCAATTTCTATTTTCATCTTTCTCCATTACATATCTGAAGGTAAGAGGTTGTTTGATCGAATGCAAAAGCAGGTGATCCTTAGCCTGGATCTGTAGCTGAAAGTAACTGGCCACTGAAGGTAAAGAGCCTTCCCTTCTGGTCACTGAGGCACAGTGGTTGTCAGGATGGGGACATTCATATATGGTACGATGATGCTGTTGTCAGGTCTTATGGGGCAAGGGTGCTTATCAAAATGTCAGCAGTTCAGACCTGAAAGTGCAGATGAACACTGTGATGATCACAAGGGTACGATGGATCACTGAGTACTGCAGAATGTAATCTCATATAATTATGGCGCTTCTGTCTTCCCTCATGGGCCAGCAGAAGGGCTTGTGTTTGTCAGTGATTCTGGCACAACTCAAACTACTGGTCCTCTGGACACTGAATTGGTAAACAGCCAGGGAGCAGAGGATCAAACAGCATATGGCTTTGCAGACTTTACCGGGCTGCAGTAAACATTCCAGCCCTGAACAGCTGTCTCTTGCCTCTAACAAGATTACTTTTAAGAGACTGATACCTTCTGGACTGGATGGAAATCTGGAAATAAGCATGCTGCTGTCAGGGCTCTGAGTGCAAGAGGCTCTGTAGCCTCTTCCCCCTGCCTTGGGGTTTGGCTGCCTATGCTCCATTGCAGCTCTGATATTATGCAGCTGTAGCCTTGGATCAGGCTGCTGGGGACAGAGCTGTGTGAGAGGGAGCTATGGGAAGCCTCTCGGGGGCCTCCTGCTCTTTGCTTGGGAGCTGCATTGAACTCAGGCCTCTATCCTTGAGACTTGCCTTAGGTATGCCTGTGCCTGTCCATGTGCCTTGCTGATCCTGAACCACTGATTTGAATTGCTGGCTTGACCTTGCACCTGCTTCATCACTGCAGACATGTCTTGTAGTCTTGAATGCTGGCTGACACTGCTCACTAGCATGGTACCTGCTCAGATACTGTGGCATTGTGCCCACCTAGTGAGATCATTGCCCTACCTGCCTTGCTGTTGCCCTCAGCTCCTGGTTTCCTTCCCTTGTGGGACCACCCATGCTTGCTGCTTTCTGAGAGCTCCTATCCCAGAGCTATGAATGCGGTATGTTACACGAAGAAGTTAGTGTCCCTTTGGCAGTCACTTGGTGTCTGAAACCGATACACATGATACAACTAAACAAAACTCAGTAACAGTGGAGACTCTACTGAAGGCCAGCTGCCAGTCATACAGTCACTCAGTGACTTGCTGTCACAAGATAGCAACACTGCCCTCAAATAGAAGACCAGGTAGGGAATACCTGGTCCTCTCTGCAGACTTCTTCTCTCATGCTTCCCCTGACTTTCAAGTTGAATTTGTCATAGCTTGTCTCGGTGAAATAAAGGTCAATACTAATGAACACTGCTGGGCAGAACTGCTCATGAAGGACTGCATGTTGAAATTGTGCTATATATATGGGCAGACGAGTGAGGGAAAGCACTTTTAGGGCCTTCACATATGTGCTAACGACCTTGTGGAGTAAGTGTCACACAAGAAGACACCTCATACAGTGTCAACTTTCAGCGTGATGTAAAATACCTGCGGGGATTTTACATGGATGGAACACATTATGGTTGCCTATCCAGCCACATGGACATCCCTGTTAAAACTAGGCCAAATTCTCTAGGGTAGGACAGCAACAGCCAAAACAATAAGGTGATGGAAGCCCGTAGATTGACTTGTCAGAGCCATACAGGCATAAATACCATCATCCTGCATAATACACAAACAGAATATGACCTTAACTATAAACATAGATTAGCTTGGGGAGCACATCTGTGAAGCAAAACAGTGACTACCTATTACATAGCAATATATGTGACTGTGTAGTAACTCTGTATATTTGGTTTGCTACTATTACTATTAAAAGCCGTAAAGTTTTCATTTTTTTAATCCTCAGTACCAGAAGACATCATCTCTATTGAACACTTTGGGGCATAAATGATCTGGCAATCTGTGTCAGCACTTGACTTAACTGCAAGGTGAGAGAAAATGACTAAATAAATAATTACAGTTTCCTCATGGAAATCTAACAAGATTACTTTTGGATTATAAAAGATTCACTCTGTGGTTTTCCTAAAGTGTTGTTGTATGTTTGTGCTTGAGGAAAAGCAAGTTATTGGAAATCTATGCCAGACTCCAAATAAGCAGTTGACTTTCTATCCATGATTTAGTACACACTAAACAGGCAAGAATGCTTCTGTGCTATTTCCTGGCAGTGAAAAATTCAGATGTGGCAGCTTTTGCCTACCACTGCTCTTTCCCTGTAGTCTGCAGACCCAAAGCAGTGCAGTTTGGAAAAATAATTAAATTTCTTAACTTTCAGGAAGCATCAAAATCAACACTTCTAACAATCAAGTGCAATAACTGGGCATGCTGTTTGCTGACCTTCACTTATGAATGATTCCTTTCTCTTCTGAGTCTGCTTTTATTTATGTATCTCTTCTGTCTCTGTTGATTTTAGTTATTATTCTGTTCTCTGTGCTCCTTCTTTCCTGCCTGTTAGCAAAACACAAGAAACCAAAAGAATGTGAAAGAATCATCTGATCTTCATAGTAGGTTTTTAATTTTTCAAGAGAGAATTGGGCCCTATTTTCTGAGTAACTGCAGAATTATGAAGGGAATTACTTAAAGCAGCCTTAGATATTTCAAGTTATTGAAAGCAACATATTCTTTTTCCAACTATATTTCAGCTAGCTCCTAGGTTCAATTCTGCTGTTCTCAAATGTAAAGAATGAAAAGAAACAGAAATGCTAGAACCCTGAGCAACTTCTCATTATTTGCAAGTATACACTTGGAACTTCCTTGGCTTGGATATTTATCCTGACTGCCTAAGACAGTTCAAATAGAGTCCACACAGCAACAGGGCATAAAAGCAAAAGGAAGAGCTTCAGAGACTGAAAAAGGTGCATAACCCCACATTTTCAAGTGGGCTCCTGTTGCAACAGTTGCTTAAAAGTTTTAATTCCTTTATTTCAGTATGAAATCGTAAGTTCATTTTTTCCACAGCCTGCAAAAATCCTGATTCAGCACAGAAGCAAATATATGTGCTAATGCAGCAACTATTCTATACAGAATCCAACAGTTGACAGTCCAGGGGACACAAACACACTCTAGAAAGCACAGTGCTGTTTGGCAAATTAGTGAACCGCTGAGAATTGGTACTCACCATGAAAAATGACCAAAAACAGAAAAAAGAGAGGAATGAGAGAGCTAAAGAAAAAGTTCTGGAGGAAGACCGAAGAATATTGAGAGAATAAAGAAAAGTTGGCAATAACTTGGCCACGGCATAGTGCAGCAATTTGGGCTATCTGTGTCAACTGGAATAAGATGTGACAAATGAAAATAATCTCTTATGAAAATAATATGTCAAGTAATGTTGCTAGTAAGCAAACCAGAGTAGATACAACATAAAAATGTACAGAGAGGTCATTAAGGACTCCCTTTTTTCTTCTCATGCAAATAGCTTTTTGGTTTGGAGGGTAAATACAGATTTTATAAGTTTATCTTTTTCCCTCATCTGGCCACAAATTCAGAAATAAACAGTACTCTGTTCTGCCCTCTATAAAATTCACCGAGGCATTTCCTTAATTATGTTTACATATGCTCATGTTTGTGGGGCTACTGTGTGAATTGGGCACCTGGCTGAAAAAAGGGAAGTTGGAGAGAAGAAGTGCCGAGGTTTTTACTTTAAAGTGGATCTCTTTTCTGGTCTGATTCACATTACAGTCCACACTGCTTGTGTTGACATAGAGGTAGAAATTAATTAAGTCAGTACTGATGCTGGCGACAGTATATCATCAGATCATTGCCTCTCTGGAAAAAAACAAACCCATTACTTGAGGAGCAGTGTAGCTGCAAATTAAAGGTGTGAGGAAAACACATAACTGAGGGGCATATGAAAGGCAAATGTGAGAGGGACAGGAAATGTGTGTCTGGGAAAAACATTTGAAAAACAACAGAGGGATAAGAAGAAGAGGTATAATATATGATATCAACACTTGGACCAACTCACTGACCATTTCTATAGAGCCTAATTAAAACTTTCAAATTTTGTTGGGTTTGTCTTATTTTCAGATTTTCTGCAATTACTGCTGTAAGTTGCAGGTTTATTTTAACAGAACACAAGCATAGGCTAACACTTACTGCTAAAAATGAAACAGTTCTTTCCCATCAAAGCACAAGAAGCAAAGCAGCAGAGCAGAATCAATAACAGTTATTTACTAGCAGTTTATCTATTTCAGTGCTCACAACCACGTTCACTTAGCCCGATAAATAGGGTGGCCTGCTGTTAACAAATATTGCCTGAAGCAAAACACTACACAATCTAAAAGAACCTTTTATACCTATTTTACATATTTATTTTCAAACATTTCCTAACAGCTCCAGTTAATGCATTAAGGTGCCCAGTCCTTACTGGCTGCACAAATCAGTCTTTCATGCTGACGCCAGCAGTATTACCATGGTTACATGATTAGAGTGGCTTAACCTGGCAGGTGGCTTAGCAAAATGCCCAGTGCCAAAACAATCCTAGCACACAATCTATAACTTTCTATCAAACAAATTAGTATATTGCATGCTCTGTTGTCCAGATCATGGTAGGGTGGGTTATTTTTTTGTTTGTTGGTGGTTTTTTTCCTGAGTAACAATGTTGTTCTCAAAATTTTACCACTTATCAACAAAAAAATTGCTAAAAAATTATTTTCAGGAAAAAAAAAAAACAAACCAGTTTACTCACATTTTTGTAGATCTAAGACTCTCAGTAAAGTCAACAAAAAATCAAGTATTCCATAAACCGCAAAATTCCAATCTGAGGTTTATGTTTATAACTGCATTTAAGGTTGGACTTCAGATCTGGAAAGATCCCATACCAGCTGGAGGCTGGCCTGCTTTTGCTTATTTGAGAGGATTCTTTGGGAAATGCAAAGCTCTGTATTATTATTTTTTAACTGATGGTTTCAAAACTGAGATCCTGAAGTTTTGCTGATAGATTCAGCTGTAAACAGTTGTGGTTGGCAATATCAGAACTGCTTCATCATGGTATGAGAATATTTGGCTCCCAGGTATCCAGACCAAGCTATTCACATACAAATAGCAAAGTGTTCCATAGGACTGAAAGCGAAGTGCCTTCATGAGAGGAGAAAGAATCATAGGAATATAGAATGTGAAAACATAATGAACAGATCGGACTTTGGCAAACAAGGTACTGCTAGCATTTTCTTAGATGGAAGCTACCAGACTTTGCAAATCACAAACTAATACAAAGCCTTAATACCTCAGTTGGTATTATTTTAGCTTTAATTATAAAGATATTATAAGTGTTATATATGCTACATGCAAAAACCTTCCTTTGCTTCCTCCTGTTGAGTGGGGTACAATGCTAAAAGAGCAAAGAGGCAGTTTTCATTCTTAACACTTTCACACTCCTTGCCAAAATCCATTTTCTGATCTGAATATAAGACCACATAGTAGCTTAAATATAAGTACCTAAGGTATAAGAACACCTCAGAGTGTGTAGAAGTTTATAGCTGTTTTGTAGTTTCATTCATACTATTGCCCTATATATTTTCTGTCTCACCTCTGAAAAAACTGTGTTGTTTTTCACAGCTTGTGTGCTATCTCCCCTTTCTCATGCTGATTTCACTGCTGCATTGATGAAGCTCCAGTCCTCTGGTCTTTATACTGTAGCATTCAAGTTTATAGACTCTGAAGCCTGCCTTAGAAGTGACTCAAGTAATTTTTTGCATTGGAGGAGAAAGCTGAAAAGTCTTCAATATTTAAATAGAAACATAAGTTTCAAGTGAGGTATAAAGGCTTCAGATCTCTTAACTTAATTCATCAATTAACATATCTGCAACAGCTGGGGTTTGATCCATATTTTCAGAGAACAGTAATGTTGCTGATACAGCATTTCCAGTTCAGTCGCAGGAATACTGAAGTGCTTTTCAGAAGATAATTTAAAAAGTACCCAGTTGACAGGATGTTTCTTCAGGGAACCATTGATCGCATTCTCAAATTGCAACAGAACCAGAGATGGTCTTCATTTTAATTTCAATATCAGGAATGCCTTAAGTGACGATCACAGCTAACCCATTTTAATGACAACCCTGAACATTTAGAAGCTCTTATCTATTCAATATACTTCTGTGCAGAGCAACAAGAACAGATGGATGCTTCCTTAACACCTGCTGCTGTGGGAGTCTTCTGAAACACTTGCAAGTAAGAAATTATTACTGCTATAAAATGTCTCTTCGTTTTATTTGTTTAGAGGATTTCTATAGAACATATATGCAATTTATTTTAGGCTTTCAAGTTAGGTTGTGCTTTTGGAAAGCTGAGGAAGGATCACTTACTGAAGGAAAGCTTATATCTATGCCTCATAAAAAAAAGGTTTTAGGATATTAAATTGAAGATTTACTGCAACTTGTTGTGTAAGGAAGCTAAGGGATGCACATGGTATGCTACTCCAGAAGCGGCGGAATAGCTCCAGGGCAAAGAGCCCAGTCCTGCAAAGCAGGAGGAGTCCCAGTGAGGAAGAGAGGACTTTTTAGAGGAAATCATGGAAAATTGAAACCTAATGCTTTTCTGACTAGGAACATCACAGAAAGATGAAGTGCAGAGATTTTAGTTCATAATTGTCCTAAGAGCTTTCCATGGGTGATCTAAATGGTTCTCTACTTCCACGGGTAGCCAAAAGGCGAGAGCCAAATTATTTCCTAGATTTGGAACACTGTTCTCTTCTTAAGTTATATGCATAATGTTTTCTTGGATTTTATTTGTTTTGTAGACTTTCAAACACAGTAGATTCAAGAAATATAATGTAAGTTCAAAGGACCCAAAAGTTATTAGAGACTCTAATCCACCTAGATTATTTGAGTTTCATTTTCGTTATGCTTACTGGTCAGAAATTGCCTTTAAAAAAATGAGTTAATTGCAATATGAGATACAACCCAAGCTGAAATATCAAAAGAAGACAGTCTAATTTTTATATATATATAAGAAAAAAAAACAAAACCAAAACAAACCATATTTTCCTCCTGCCATCTTTTGGCACAGATGTTGTAATAATTAATGCAGGTGATTAGAAATTTGAAAAATTGAGAGGGTGGCAGCATCTGACGTAGAAGTGAGGTGTTTCTTCCAGTCCAGACAGCCATTGGGGACTAACTTTGTAGCACATCCCTCTGGTTCTGCTTTATACATCCACAGATTTAAAAACTGAAGTAACTGCTCTGACAATTTACTCTGAACTTTCACAATACTTTACCCAGCAATCCCTGACCTATAATTTCTGACTGGGCTGGAGAACATATCTTAGAAAGACACACAATCATAATTTAATGGCTTCACATAGTGATAAATTCCTTAATTATTACTACAAGAAGGTAAGTTGTTTTGACTGTAAATTGCCATCATGCTAAAATGATGCATATTATTTTAGCTTGAATTGATATGTTTGTCTTCTAACTACAGAACTTTATATGTTGCCTTATATTGATTTCACAGTTCTCTGATCTAAGTCTCATCCCAGTGTACAAACTGACAGACTATGGTCAAATAACCACTGGCTTTCCTGTTGGCAAAATTTAATAAATGAAAGTCATTAATTGCTTCTGACTTTTAGGTGTTGTTTCCAAACCTTACCAAATTAAAAAAAGATTCCAAAGAAAGCTGCAAGTATTTTTAAAGACCAGACAGAAGAAGATAATGTTGCTCCTTGTTCATCTCTGCAATAATGCCATATATAAGCCTACAAATACATCTTTGTTAATTTATCTAAGGATCACAGCAATTAATTCAGACACTTTAGATATTAGGTTATCCTGCCAATTTACATGCATCTAGGATAGATCTTGTAATTTGTTTTGGCTCCTCTGTCCCCTGAACACAAAGATAAGTTTGCTATATGTCTAGAACTTGAATTTCAAGAGCAGAACACTTTAGAATGTTTGATGTACAAGTTTAGATAAAATGTTTATTTACTCTGAGTGATTAAAACCTGAAGTACATGACTTATGAGGAGAAGCTTACAAGAACTGAGTTTGTTTAGCCTGGAGAAGGCTGGGGGAGTTGCTGTCTACAAATGCCTATTGGGGGGTCTTGGGAAGATGAAGCTGGACTCTCCTTGAAGATACAGAGTGAAAGCAGGAGATGGAGTGACCACAAACTGCTACAAAGGAAATTATGGTAAAATAATTAGAGAAAATAAAATTGCTCCTACTGAGGGAAAGTAGCCACAAGTATCTCTACCCTGAGGAACCTCCACCCTTAGAAATACTCAAAGCTTGACTGGGCGACCTGAGTAACCTGACAGACCTACTCTGAATGGTGGATCAGACCAGATCCCTTACAGAGAAAGGTTTCTTCCAGTCTAAATGACTTTGACTCTATGACTAATTAATTAGTTCTGCTGGCCTAATTCAGTGGTATATGGATGTTGTAATTTAGGCTCAAAGTACAGATCTTTCTCCACAGATCTTACCTGATACTTAACAGGAACAGGGATTTTTATGAGGGCGCTGATTCATGCAAACAAAAGGCTACTCAGCAGACAATAGCTGAATGTCCACCTCTTCCATCCATCATGCTTCTCTTGAACATCCCTGTCTCTCCTGCATAAACTAAACTACTTCACTTAACACCACAACCTGTTATGATAAACTAGCATAAATTCCAGTTCTACACAATAGACAAGTTTTAGTTCCTCATACTAGACCACATCATAATTTCCATTAGCTCCTGCATAAAACACTGACTTCTCCCCAAGGCACGTGGAGGGCAGATGATTGAGAGGTAATGGAACCCTGGGCAAAACCAATTTCTGAATCAGGAGCCTTCTTTTTTACTTTCATTACTCTAAAAATTGGTCCAAAGAGTCACGTTCTTGATGAAGCTGAATTCTGTGCCAAAGCTAAATGTTACTGAGCTTGCTTATCAGACAGGATAAGCAATGCAAGGTATATAATACTGTTAACAACTTTGTTTGTACCTGTTGTGTTCACACGAATAATTATATTATCTTTACTTAACAGTCTCTTACACCCAGCTAAACTAATCCAGTGAAAGACACGTACATAGGAATTAGGCCTTTGATATGATCAGTAAATTAAATTAACTTGACTCCAGGAAGAAAAAGATAAGAAAATGCCTGTCCTTTTGAAAAAGGTCACAAACAAAGAATGAGAACAGTGCACATTTAAAAATTCCAGAATTTGAAGAAATAATGGCCAGAGGGATAAGGGACCTGCCTTTTTTGTAAGTTTCTCTCTTTCTGACAGAATCTTTTTACTTGACGCTTTTCTGTATACCAGATTAAGGTCACTTTCTACTTATTTGTTCTGACGTGATATACCTAAAATGTGGCACTTTTATTGCAGAAACCAAAGATACTCTATTGCAGCAAAAAGTGAGAAATAAACATATTAGTGGATTAAAATACAGCTACATTGGCCAGTGTGTTGTAAATATATACATCTTCCTTTCTGTTTTCCTCTACAGTTTGAGGCTCACATCAAAGTCATGTCCCTGTATTGATATGAGAAGTCAATACTTACAACATTGGGGAAAACAGAAGATGAAACCATGAATGAATGTGCACTGTTGGCTGCTCAGCTAAGGCTGTTTATATGAAGAAGTGGCTTGCACAGGGGTGAGAGACTGGGAAGCAGTTGTTTTCTGAAATATAGCTTTTGGCTTAAAGAATATGTGTCCTGCTAATGACTCCAAGCTCAAATATAATTGAGGAGATGTACGACTGTGGTAGTTTGGTCTAGGCCTTCCTTGGTGACCAGTCTGTAACCAAGGAAGTGCTCAGATTTACCCAGTATTCCCTATGATTTTTACGTAAGCCAGACTATAAGAATAAAGGAGGAGAGGCCTTCGCTCTCTTTCCTTCCGGCGGCTTGGAGGTGCAGGTTCCCTGCTGTTGAGTCTGCCGTGTTGGGGAGCGAGGCCTGGTTAGGCCTTGCCAACCATGGGAGACAGAGGTTGCCAGCGATCGTTCCAGAGTGACTTTCTGTTGTCCCAAGGAGAGTAGTGAGATATTTCTTCGCTAACTCTTTTAGTTGTTAGATATTGGGCTACTAATCGGGATATATATATATATATATTTTATTTTGGTTTTGTTCCTTTTCCCTTCCCCCTTCCCTTTCCCTTGTGAAATTGTATACATATTTCAATTGTATATAACTGTAACATAAGTGTAAATATATTTATATTATATTTATATATATCACTTTAGCTGTCTCTCGTTTCGGTTTTTCTTGGTTGTTTTTCTCCCTCTTCTCCCTGAGGTTTGGTGGGGGGGGACTTCTTGTGGTAAGGTTTGGAGACTCGGCAGGGAGCCAGCTTCAAACCATATCAACAACTAATCTCAGAACTTTTTATTCCTTCTCTTTCCAAAAGCAAGTATTTTAGCATAGTTTTCAAAAAATCCAGTCTACAGCATCATCTGCTTACACAGCCAGGAAATTTTAAGTGGTGTGAATATGTCATAGAGAGGGTACAGCTAAGTCAAAGTTAGGCAACTCAACTGGAAAAATAAACAAACATCTTTTGCAGTGGAGGAAATATCCACTAGCTTTAATGACTGTCTGCAGTGACCGCGGTGAGGTTTGTCAAGTTGATTTCTTTGAAATAAATTGGCTTCAAACACAAAACAAACAAAAATATCTTTCTTCCACTTTTTGAGTGGATGCTTGAGTCACCTGGTGGCATCTAGCTTGAGCAAAAGAAGACATAAACTTACTTAAACTCTATCTTTTCGAATGTTTCTGTAGACTCTGTCAGGTGTTTCAGATTGCAAGTTTGTTTTTCTTTAACTGTATAGAATGATTTGGTTTTCAGTCTTGGCAGGTGACACAGTGATGACACCCAAACAGCATTAGCAGGAACCTTCTTTTGCTACAACAGTTCACCCACACTTTATAACAGTCTTGTTCAATGACTCACTCGCTCTGTTGCTACATAATTTCTTCCTTTCTCCTGTGAGCAGGGAACAGCAGTAACTTCATCTTTGGCTATTCATCTCAGAGCTCTTGGAAAGTCCACTCATATTCATCTGGTTCATCTCTATTTTCTTAAGTGAAAATCAAGATTTTTGTCCATACAATGTATAATAGTGTGTGGGCTTGCCTTTCAACTCTATTTGTCTGATTACAAATATATTTGCAAGTAGTTATATCAAAGATTCTGCAGCCATAACAAGATTTGTAACTTGC